CTGTCAGAGTGCTTATAAATTCACTACTAAAGAAATCTGATGATATTATAATCTGTACTAATTTAATAACTACTTATTCACTGAATCTGTCTTTACTTAAGATTTCACATTCTGAGTAAGTTATTAAGCTTAATAAACATCTACAGAATTAGCTGTATATTTTTATATGTAATTTTCTATATATAATTTCATTATATAATATATCATCTTAAAATCTAATTGTGTTATTAAAATATTGATGAAAATATTTCATCATCATAATAGCGAAATAGCGGGCGTTGAGTGTAAGCAGGTGTTGAGTGATTGATTACAATACTTTGTATGATTTTTTGATAATTAGTCTCAGCAGAATTCACATCAAGAAATGTATGAAACTAGATTAAATGAGATTAAATATAAAATTCATGATCTCAGCAGCCAGTTTAATTACAGTGTTATAGAGATGTTTAAATATTAAGAAAGAAAGCAAGCTCTATTCACTGTAAAAATTTCACAGATTTTATAAGAAGAACAGCTTCTTTTTTATATTAATTAATTAATAGATTATAGTTTTTCTTATATATCTCAAATTCTTCATAATCTTATTATTTAAGATTTTAAAAATATTTATTAAAATTAACTAAGTGTGATTTAAAGATTGCTTGAGTCAGTATAAGATAATAGATATATATTAACTTCTTATATATAAATTAAGTTAGTAGCTGCTAGAGCTTGTTTACATTTGTAAGTATATTTAGAAGTAGCTGTATTATTATTCAGTTACTATATATTCTTCTAAATCATATTCTCTCTTATTAGATTCAGTTATACTTATATAATTATAATATAAACTCTAGCTTTATACAGATTAACATGTTACTATCACTTATAATTATTTAATCTATTTCTAATTTAACTAGTATCTCACTTACACTCTTATAAAGAAGTTTTTACTATATTATATTACTTATTCACTAACATTTATATTCTTCAATTATTTTCTCTGTTATTATTATTATTAAATACTATTATTTTATACAAGATTTCTACTCTCCCTCTTTTATTTAACACTTTTCAATAGCCCCAGTGGCCGAATGGTTAATGCGGCCACCTGGTAGCGCCTTGGCGTGGGAAACCAAGGCGCGTGGGTTCGAAACCCGCAGGGGATACATTAAATCCAGAACTCAAGCACCTCAGGTTCCTAATAAATACAGAGGTGTACAAATCACTCCAATGAATCACTCTATGTTCCTGGGCTGGGAAGTTATTATTGCATGTATCTAATTGTCACTCCTTTGTATTTTCCTATGTTCTTGTTATCTTGGCGTGGTCTCAACACCTGTATTTCCTCCTGTATAACCAACACTTGACCTGTATTTAACATCACGCAAGGACTCATCATAAGCTCCGCTTGCATATGAGTATAATGAAAGAATAATAATAATAATAATAATAATAACACTTTTCAATCTTTTTATTTATTACATTATATATATTTCTGATAATAACTCTTTATTTTCAAAATAAGTATTATTATAATACTTATATTAGACAGTTTATTAACAGTAAGTGAAATATATTATAAAATATAATCAGAACTTGTTTTTCTAATAATTATTAAAATATATTATTATAAATATATATTTTTTCTATTTTTTTATACACTCTAATTTTTCTAGCAGATATCTGACTGTATTTTTCTAGTATAAGTTTTATCTTGATGCAGCTACTGATTCGGTTATTTTTATTTAGCTCAAATTATCATATGTTAGCAGATTTGAATATACTGAGACTAGTAAATATCTTTAATATTAAATCATTAAATTGATAACTTGTATAATTCAAAGACTGATTAAGTCAGTGTAAGATTATAGACAGACACTAACTTGTTATATATAAATTAATTAGTATCTGCTAGAGCCTCTTATATTTACAAGTGTATTCAAAAGCAGCTGTGTTATTATTCAGTAACTATATATTCTTCTAAATTATATTCTCTCTCATTAGATTTAGTCATACTTGTATAATTATAATATAAGCTCTAACGTTATATAAATTAGTATACTGTTATTGTTTATAATTATACAGTCTATTTCTAATTTAACTAGCATCTTACTTTCACTCTTACAAAGAAGATTTTACTATATTATATTACTTATTTACTAACTTTTTCATTCTTTAATTATTATCTCTATTATTGTCATTATTGAATGCTATTATCTTATACAAGATTTCTACTCTCTCTCTTGTTTAATACTTTTCATCTATTTATTTATTACATTGTATGTGTTTCTGATAATAATCTCTTATTCTTAAAACAGGTATTATTGTAGTACTTATATTAAGCAGTTTATTAACAGTAAGTGAAATGTATTGTGAAATATAATCAGAACTTGTTTTTCTAATAATTATCAGAATATATTACTATAAATAATATACTTTCTTCATTGTCTTATACACTTTTAATTCTTTCTCAGTGAGTATCTGATTATGTTTTTCTGATATAATTTTTACATGAATACAGATGCTGATTTATTTATTTTTATTTATATAAAAATTTTATATATTGTCAGATCTGTATTCACTGATGATAGTAAATATCTTAATATTAAATTATTAATTGAGAACTTGAAGAATATGATAATAAAAGAATTATCTGTATTATATATAACTGAGTTTTCTATATTCTTCTCTGTCTCTTCTATTACTATTTCTCTCTCTGCTACTCTCTCTTAGACTGACCGTGTGACCGTGTCTGGGACCAGGACCAAACTTTACAGTTGTCACATTGCCTAAAAGCATTACTCCTGGTCATGATTTGTGTTTATCCATTGATTCCAATCACATTATTTCAAATTTTAAGGTCTCAGATTCACTTTCAAATAAAATCTAGTCCTGGGATAAAGAATAAGGTTGGGATTTTTTAGTCACATTTTCATTCTGATCCCATTATTGAGAATGGCACTAAATGAGACTATGAAATCACTTCTCACTTACATAATATCATAATATAGTACTCATTTGTTGAAAATTCAACAGAGAGTATTATCAAATATCATTACTTTTCTGAACATAGATCATAATTCATATAATTTTAATTATGAAAAAAATATAAAATACAAAAAAAAAACAAAAAACAAAAAACAAAACAAAAATAAGAAAAAAAAAAAAAGAAAAGGAAAAGAAAAAAATAAAAAATAAAAAAAAAAAAAAATCAAGGTCACAGGGTCACAGCACTCTCAAAATACTCACTTCTCAGAGTCTTCACAATGTTCATCATCAATCATGTATCTCTCACAGTGAGGATAACACAGCTGTAATGAGTCATTGTCTTAACATCATCTAACAAATAATCAGTATATATCTGTATAAATGTGAATATTTAGAAAACATACACTTAAAAAGTGTGGCCAGGGTGGACTCTGCTGCCACTTGAATGATATCAAGGACAGAACACTGAAATCAATGATTCCTCTCATTGATTTCACAGACAAGGTGGGTGAAGATGGTCTTGAGAAATATAAGATCCCCTGACTTCTGATAAAAATGAATCTCATGAAGAGACTCTATTTTCATGATATCAGAGACTGAGTATTATTAAAAAGTGTTACTTTCATGCAATGCACATACACTTACTGCAATGATTCACCCTCTGCACATGTGACTGAGAGTTGCAGCTTTCTCACATCACACAGCTCTCTCTGAGATGCTGGCACTGGTTTGCAACCCACACAGTCTCTCAGTTCAGCACACACTGCATGTATGCAGCCCTGTGTGCTGGGGCCGTGTTGGCCATTATGACCTGGCGTGGTACTCGCTTTTCACGGGCCATGTTTTGTTTGAGAGGGGAGGGGAAGATGCAACTGTGGTTTTATTGAGAGAGAATGAATAATTAGTAATGTTGAATGTAATTTGATTCTTCTGCATTTAAAATTTGATTAGTCTATACTCTTCAATTTAAGAGTTTCTAAGAGTGTTTTAATAGTTTTCATACCAGCTTGAACTTAGTGATGGATTGAAGAAGAAGAGAAAAGAGAGAAGAAAGAAATGAGAATAACTTATCTTTATAATATGAAAACAGAGAATCACTGCAATCATTCTCTCTAGCAACAAAGATCTGTTTTCTACATGTATCCCTGATATAGATTATATGATAACTGCATACAAAGAATATCAACACTGCATGCATTGAATGAAGATGATGTTGCTATATAACACTGTAGCTGTTTCCATATATCTCTGAAAGCTATTAATATTTTCTTTGTCTCTTTATATTTGATAAGTCAGTAATATATTTCAATGCACTCTCTCTTTCATCATCATCATCATCATCACCATTATCATCATCAACATTATCACTATCATCACTATCATTATCATCATCATCATCATCATCATCATCATCATCATCATTATTATCATATCATTTCTAGCCGCCTCTCCTGCCTTCACCTCTCTTCAACACTCACTGAAATCAATCATGTCATTTCTCTTCAAATATTCTGCGGTCCTGTGGACCACCAAGACATGTGAGCACCATCACAGATTGAAGGGAGAGAAGAAGAAGACATTCAAGTGAGAAGAGACAGATCACAAGACATATTATGATGTCTTGAAGAGGCTCTGTAAGAGAGTAGAATGATAATGATTTTAAGTAACACTTCTGATAGATTTAGACTGAACTAAGTATAGGAATAATGCGGATGACACTGTCTGTGAGAGATTAGAGAAGAAGACAGTGAAGAGCCTCATGCAGCAGTGGTGGGACCAGGAGAAGTCCTGAGAATGATTTGAGTTTAAGATGAAGAGAGAGAGAGAGAAGAAGAGTATTACTGCAAATAAGCAGTAACAGAAGAAGATTGAGAGGATGTTGAAGTGAGAGACAAAGAAGTCAAAACTGGTAAGTTTTTTACTTATTGAGAGATAATGATTTTTGATAATACTTCTGTTCTCTAATTGATTAGCAGAAGCTGACAGAGGAGGAGGGAATTAAGGCCTTGTTCAGGTCTTGAATGCACTCCATGATTCAGGACATTGAGGAGGCAGCCCTGCTCTCTGAGTATGTCAATCTGCTTGCCACTGAGGTGGAACCTGAGACAGCAGACCAGAAAATGCGGGATTTTGAGGCGCAGGTTGACCTGGCTGAGGGGAAGCAGTGGGAACTCTCCCCTGAGAAGGCAGCGGAGGAAGATTTTGAGGTGGTTATCATCTCAGATGAGAAGGAGGAGAAGGAGAAGAAGAATGAGAAGTGAATTATAAAGAATGATAAGAAGAATGAGAAAGAGAAGAAGTAGATTTTTTTCTTTTTATATTAGTTAGTTATAAGTTTAAGTTTTTAATTATTAATAATTAAAATTGATTTTAAGTTTTCAAAAATTATTGTACAAGTTGTAATCAAGTCAGGAATGATATATATATATATATATATTTAACTATCATGATTCACAAATCACTATAATGTATAAGTATCAACATTTTTTCAACATTGATATTCACAATATTAATATATTTTTAATGATATCATCTGATAATGTAATTTGATAACACTCTCTTTTACAATATTAATATATTTTAAGAAATATGATAGAGATTAATCAAGATTGTTTATTTACTTTTATACATCAATGATATCTAATCTGAGTTAGTACTAAAATTATAACTAAGCTAAGAAACAAGATTATTTTCTCTTATATTAATTCTTCTTACACACATCAGTGATCAGTTATTGAAAATAAATTATCATCTTTCTTAAATTATTATCATGTCTTCTGAATTCACTTCTTTCACTTCTTTTACTTCTACTGAAGATTCACAAACTCTTTAAGAAATCACTGTGAATCACAAAGTCTACATTGTTTACAATTCAACACAGAATGCTCTCTTTCAATTATGATGAATGATCACTTCATTCTTCACATCTGATTCCAGGCCATGAAATTTATGGAAAACTCAACACAAACATTGAGATGAACTATGAAATAATTATCAACAGGTTGCATTGCAGATTATCAGAGAGTCATCTCTCTGCTACAATCACTGCAACTTCATTCAGAAACATTCATCATGAACTGGTCATGACTCTGAAGAAATTTCCTGACATCTGAAGTCATCAGAATGCAGACAATAAAAGGAAAATAATCAGAAAATTACTACTGGGCTGGTAAGTTGCTCTATCAGGTAACAATTTTTGATAACACTAACTTTCTAATTTGAAGGAAATCATGTAAAAATGATCATGTACCAGTACTCTGATTCCACAACTCTCACCTGATAACTTCTGTGAACAAT